TCCCCACTCTCTCAAAAAAAAAAAGAACATTTAAAAAAAAAAAAAAGCTAAGCATGATCTAGCATCATAGATGAGATTTTTTGTATGTGTGTTGCTAAACTTTATGATTCTTTATCCATTCAAGGATAAAAATATTTGTAAATAAAAGCTTTAAAATTTAAGAACAATTTGTTTCATTGAGATATCTAAAGATATACTGAACCATAGGAATAAAGCACAAATAGCAGTAAGTCTAAAGAACTTTAAAACTGCTTTGAGCCAGGCATGGTGGTACACACCTGCACTACCAGTGACTTGGAGGCTGAGGCAGTAGGATCACAGGTTCCAGCTAGCCTAAGCAAACTCAGCAAGACCCTGTCTCAAAATAAAAAATAAAAAGGACGAGGGGTGTAGCTCAATGGTAGAGCACCCCTGGGTTCAGTTCAGTCCCCAGTACTGAGGGGAAAAAAAAAGTGTGCTTTTTGATGGTGTGGGGGAGTCATAAATAATAAAATTTGTGCTTTTCTGACTTATTGAATTTCCTTTTTTTTTTTTCTTCTTTTACTTCCTTGTCTTTCCTCCTGGATTTTTTTTTCTTTTTTCAGTTAAGCTTTTTATTTGAGATCATTGTAGATTTTCATGTGCAGTTCTAAGAAATAATAGAGCTCATATACCCAGTTTTCCTAATGGTAACATCTCACAGTAGTTCTGTTGATCATGGCAGGATATTGTCATTGATGCAGTCTAAGTAGAGGACACTTTGATCATCACCAGAATCCCTCATGTTGCCTTTTTATAGCCACACCCACATTTTCTTAATTACTGTCAATCTTTGTTCTGTCCCCTTTCTATAATTTTTTTTTTCATTTCACATAGTGTTATATAAATGAAATCATGCAATGTGAAACCTTTTGGCTTTTTTCACTAACGTAATTCTCTTATCGTTTTACATTGCCACCAGCAATGTGTGAGTGGTAGTTTCCCTAATCTTTGGAATTCCTTTTCTTTTATACTTGTCCCTCTCATGAAGTCTACTGGGTGTGAGTTTATTTTTGTTTTTTTCCTAAGGATAGTATTTGATGCTTATCTTGTCTGAAGTTAAATTTTTGCTGCTTTCTGAAAATTACTTTTACAGCTACAAAAATGCGACGGAGTTTGATTTTGAAAAGGATAAATATGACATCAGAATTCCTGAGGATTTAGATGAGGCATCGGGGAAGAAAGGGTACAAGAAGCAAGAAAGAATGGACCAAATTGCCCCTGAGAGTGACTATTCCTTGAGGGTATGTATGCAGCTCTCTTCATGGAAATGAGAAAGTCATGGAGTAAAGGAATTATTAGCAGACTTACAGTACCCCCTGTTTTTCTAAAGGTTGGCAGTGATGTCTATAGGAAAGCATTGCAGAAAGAACTGATATATAAGTTTTCATTGGCCCACTGGTTGTTTCATTTGCTTAGAAAACCTTGTAATTGCAAAATCATCAGATCTAACAGTGCTTAATAGTTTTTACTATGTGCTTAGATTCTTTGAATTGACGTTGTTGGAATCAGCATATTTTATGATGGCTGTACTGATTTTTTAATTTTTTTTTATGGTGCTGGAGATTGAACCCAGGGCCTTGTGCATGCTAGGCAAGCACTATCTACCTACTGAGCTATATCCCTAGGCCTGTACTGATTATTTTATCACAAAACACCAAAATGTTTTAAACCATTTTTTAAAAAATATTATTTTTTTTTTGTAGTTGGACACAATACCTTTATTTATTTATTTTTATGTGGTGCTGAGGATCGAACCTAGGGCCTCGCATGTGCGAGACAAGTGCTCTACCACTGAGCCACAACCCCAGCCCCTAAACCAATTTTTATAATACTCTAGAATACTCACTATACCTTAATTATCATCCTGAAGAGAGTATATATTAATATAGTTTTATGATAAATATCTCTTGAGATTTGACCTTAGAACTGGCTTTGATTTTTTTTTTTGTTTTGTTTTGTTTTGTTGCTGGGGATAAAATCCAGCACATGCAAGGCAAGTATCAGCCCACAAATGGGTATGTTTCTAGACCAAAGAAATGAAAATCTCAATTTAACAGTGTTGATATAAGAATATTAAATTTCTTAGTATAAGACATGATAATAATGTTTTTGGTACATTTTTATGTGCTAAAATTTTATGTGTTAAAATTATATAGTAACTAGAAGCTGAGAATCTGTTTGACATTTACATGTTTTACCATGTGATTTCATAATTACAATCCTAACAATTACTGTAATCTGAAATGTATTATTCCTGTTGCTGTGGGATGCCATAGCTGTTTAGAAAATCTTTCTCAAATATGAACCAGATCCAGAGGCAGCCAGGGGATTTGATTTGAATACACTAGAAGTACAGTATTTTAAGATATTAATCGCGCGCGCGCGCGTGTGTGTGTGTGTGTGTATGTATGTATGTATGTATGTATGTTTGTGTGTGTATTGGGGATTGAATCCAGGGTCTTATGTAGGAGGCAAGCATTCTACCAACTGAGCTATTAATGAATTTTATAAATGACAAACACCACTTCTTTTGAACTTGGGAATTAGGGAAAAAAAGAAATGGTCAGTTAGGTTTGTATTGAAGCTTTCGTCTTTTCTTTGTGAGTTACTCATGTATTTCCATCTGGGGTTTCTGTTAGAGGTTTCAGAAGATCATGTTGTAGGGGCTGGGGTTGTGGCCCAGTGGTAGAGTGCTTGCCTAGCATGAGATAGGCACATGGGTTCGATCCTCAGCACCACATAAACGTAAAATAAAGATATTGTGTCTTCCTAAAACTTAAGAATAAAAAAAATATAGATCATGTTGTAACATGTTTTAGGTCTGAAGTTTGGTCGGATTTATTAAGCATCTCAACATTTATATATTAAAAACTGAAAACATACTTTGACCATAGCTCAGTTTTGAAAAAGTGCCGTATTTCTCTGTTCTGCTTACGCATTGGTGCATTATTTAGAATTTTTTACTTGTCAAGCCTATGTAATTTTCTCTGAATTATATTAGATCCTGCTCATTATTTTATTTTTGAATTTTAGGTCATTAGATTGTTATCTCCATATCATTTTTTCTGACCACAGTTTAGTGAAAATAATCAAATTAGAATAACTGTACCGCTTTGAAATCTGTTATTGCTGTTACTATTTTTTGACTCTGGGAACTTAATTCAGGGGCCTTGTATATGCTGATAAATACATGGTTTACCATTGAGTTATATACCTCCAGCTCTACAATATGTATTATTTTACTGAAATGGTGGTATGTTTGTTCTTAAAGCAAGGCAATAACTTTCTGTTTAAAGCTACATCAAAGTAATGTTGAATAAACCTGTAGATAATTATTTAGAAAGTACCAATATTGTTATGTTTCTTTTCAGGCTTACTGCAGTATATTATATTTAAAGCCAAGAATGCAGATAATCTTACGTGGACAGAAAGTGAAGACACAGCTAGTTTCGAAGAGTCTTGCCTACATTGAACGTGATGTTTATCGACCTAAATTTTTAGTATCCTTTATTGTTTGACACTGTATAGGCATGTCAATCAAGCATGCACTCCTTTGCCCCCTTTTCCTTTTTTTTTTTCCCCTTGATAGGGATTCTAATTCTCTTCAACTTTTCCCTTATTTATGCACTTCAGAGTTCATTAAAATGAAACAGAGTGATTTGAGGAGAGTGAGGACTGTTTTTTTTCTTCTCAGAATTTTCCTTAACATTTTAAGACTAAAACAGTGAGAATTACTTTTGGATTCAACTGCAGAAATAAAGATCATTATGGCATAATGATGTATCACAGAAATAGACTCATCAAAGCTTATGAAAAAGTTGGATGTCAGCTAAGGGTAAGCTTTATATTTTAAAAGAATGGACTATTTTTAATAAAAATTAGAATAATGTTATTGGGATAAAGGCAAAATTATTTTATAGTGGTTTTGCTCATGATTTTTAGATGCCAGTCTATTAAAAATAATATTAGTATTACATTTTAATTTTGTATTAATTTCTCATTTGATCCTGAACAGTTCTGTAAGGGGAGTTAGGATATTTATTTTGCTCCTACTTTATAGATAAGAAAATTGGGGCTAATAAATAGGATGTGCAGTTTGCCCAAGATCTAACAGTGAGTGTGGATCTCAGCCATAGATGCCCTTCTTTTGCCTGCATTTGATATGGGATCAGTGATTTTTTTTCTTACTGGAATGATATTGGTTAGATTTTCATTAATGTTGACTGAAATAGCCTGAAAAATAGTATCTAATAGGCTATTTGCTTTTTAGGAGATAATTCCTAAATATATTGGGACTGTCCTCTTAAAAAGTTTCCATTGTTGTAGAATTCATGTTAAGATGATGAGCTAGTTCACTATGTCTGTCTGTCCTGTACATATTTACATAAGCATTTTTTAGGGTGTGTGTGTGCATTTTCTATGAATTCAATAATTTGAGGTTTGTAGAAACTCAATAATGCAAATAATTCTAAAAATCAACTTTGTTAAAAAAATATTTGGGGGATGGGGTACTGGGGATTGAACTCAGGGGCACTTGGCCACTGAGCCACATCCCCCCAGCCCTATTTTGTATTTTATTTAGACATAGAGTCTCACTGGGTTGCTTAGTGCCTTGCTTTTGCTGATGCTGCCTCGCGAGCTGCTGGGATTACAGGCATGCACCTCCGCACCCACCCGGGGAAAAAAGGTTTTCAGGCTAGGTGTATATTTTGCCAGGGTGGTGCTGCACCCCTGTAATCCCAGCAACTCAAGAGGTTGAGACGGAAGGATCACAAGTTTTAGGCCAGCCTAAGCAAATTAGTGAGAGTCTGCCTTACACACAAAAAGGCTAGCTCTTTTTTTTTGTTATTATTAATTTTTAAAAAATTTTTATTTATTTATTTTTTTAGTTATCGGCATACACAACATCTTTGTTGGTATGTGGTGCTGAGGATCAAACCCGGGCCACATGCATGCCAGACAAGCGTGCTACCGCTTGAGCCACATCCCCAGCCCCTTTTTTTTTAGTTCTCTGTTTTTGTTTTCTGTTCATCTTTATTCTAAATTCTTTGTAGAATGTTGTAAGCTCTACACAGTATAGTCATGTGGATTTATCTTGAATGCTATTTGAATAGGTTGGAACTCTGCTTCACCTATTTTCATGGCATGAGCCGAGAATAGTAGCATTTTTGCAGAAGTATGTGAACTTTGTTGGGCTTTTCTTTGTAATTGTTAATTTCATTTGAAAATTAATGCAAAAATCTGGCAATTGTGATATGAGATATAAATGACATTTACTTAAAATGCTAATTTTCATTTGCAATTAAAATACTAGTTGCTAGGAATATTCTATAATGCTATTTAAGTTAATAAATTTCATTGGTAGTTAGAAATGCATTTTTGATAATATGCCTTATTTCTCTAGTGCTTTGGGATTCAAAAAAAAATAATCTATCTGCTATAGAATATAAATTCTTTTTCTTTTGTCATTTATGAATTTTACTTCATAGGATACAGGGCCCATTTTGGAAACACAGTTAAATTTGCATCATGGAGGCTGGGGATATAGCTCAAGTTTGTACAGTGTGTGCCTCACATGTACAAGGCCCTGGGTTCAGTCCCCAACACCACAAAAATAAATTTTTTTTTTCATCATGTACAGTTTCTAGTTTCTAGTTTCTAGTTTCTAGTTCAGCGTTCAGTTTTACCTTGTAAAATTAGGCTTTTAGAACAAACATTTAATGTTTGTCTTTACCAGATGGTGGAGTGGGCCAAAATGCAGATGCTCAGACTTACCATGCTAGGTGTTCAGCAGAAAATTATGATGAGGCACAGAGCATGCCCTCAGCTCAGTTTGGTGAGAGTACTGTGGAATATCCTTAGACCATCAAAAAGTCTTTCTGAAGACTGATGATGAGATGTCTCCATTGACTTCACTGCCTTATAAAGTCTGCGAAGGGCTCTCTAGGCAGAGCAAGCTTCTGCAAAGGAAGGGGAAGAAGTTTCTGAGAGTGTAACAACATGAAGAATAACTTGTGTGGCTGAACCATATTGTAATTGGGGACCAAAGTAATTGGAAAGACAGGAAGATGAAGTGGAAAGAAGGATGACAAGAACTACAAATGAGGGGCTGGGGATGTGGCTCAAGTGGTAGCGCGCTCGCCTGGCATGCGTGCGGCCCAGGTTCGATCCTCAGCACCACATACAAACAAAGATGTTGTGTCCGTCGAAAACTAAAAAATAAATATTAAAAAATTCTCTAAAAAAAAAGAACTACAAATGAAAGGGGTCTTGTTATGACCGTTTACTGGTGGTCTGAAATGAAGAACCATTGATGTTTTTTGTTGTTATTTGGATTTTTTGTGGCACTAGGGATTGAACCCAGGGTTTTATACATGTTAGGCAAGTTCTCTACCACAGAACCCTTTCTCCAAACCCCCTTCCCTCACCACTTTTTTAAAAAATTTATTTTTGAGAAAGGGTCTCGCGCTAAGTTGCCTAGGCTGACCTTTGAAGTTGTGATCTTCCTGCTTTAATTCTCAAAGCTAGGATTACAGGCATGCAATACCTTGCCTGTCTCCACTATTGACTGTACTAGGGCTCAAATCCAGGGTCTTATGCATGGTAGGCAAATCACTGAGCCACATCCTTAGACCCCACTGATGGCTCTGAAAAGAGCAGAATTGTGATTAGATTTACATGGTTTAATTAATAACTACGAAAATTTTTATTTTATAAGTTACATATTCTTCCATTTCCATTTGTAAGTAGACTCAAAAATAAGCTATAATTGTGAATAAAATATACTTGTTAATAGCATGTAAATAATCAGAATTCAACAGTTAATTTGAATTGATTAATTTTAGCTAGTACAGTTTCAAAAAATAACTGATGCACTGGGCGTGGTGGTGTGCGCCTGTAATCCCAGCAGCTCGGAAGGCTGAGGCAGGAGGATTATGAATTCAAAGCCAGCCTCAGCAAAAGCAAGGCATTAAGCAACTCAGACCCTGTCTCTAAAGAAAATACAAAATAGGGATGGAGATGTGGCTCAGTAGTTGAGTGCCCCTGAGTTCAATCCCTGGTTACACTCTCGTCTGCCCCAAATAACTGGTGCAAGTGACATAAGTTTTTATTTCATCATATTCTTCTCCTCCTCCTCCTCTTCCTCCTCCTCCTCCTCTTCCTCCTCCTCCTCCTCCCCCTCCTCCCCCTCCTCCCCCTCC